ATTCTGTTCTGATGTGGCATACACGGGGGTGCCTAGAATTTACTGATCACTTACTTACGCTCTTGTCTTTGTCTGCTTGGGCTGCTATCACAAATACCGTAGACTGCGTGGTTTAAACGAGAGACTTCATTTCTACAGTTCGGGAGGCTGGAAGTCTGTAGATCACGATGCTGGCAAATTCATTGTCTGGGAAAGGCACGCTCCTGGCTTGTGGACAGCTGGGTTCTCACTGTGTGCGCACATGGCCTTTCCTTCGTGGGTGTCCATGGAGGGAGAGGGAGAGAAAGAGACCTTTCCCGTCTCTTATCCTTCTTCTATGTCCATTAATCCTATCGTGGAGGCCCACCTTTGTGACCTGATGTGAACCTAATCGCCTGCCAAGGCCCCCCCTCCTAATACCAGCACCTCAACATAGGCACGCGGGGGACACAAACATCCGCCCATAGCAGCCAGGTTCTTGCTGAGTGCTGTTTATGCTTTTCCTGCTGATGTATTCCTCGCAGCGGTCCCAGGACTTGAACTTCACAGGCAAGTAGCCTGGATTTCAGAGAGGCTAAGACATCGGCAGGGACCGCTCTGCGCCAGAGCCACCGTGGGGACACTGAGGCAGGAGTTTGTCTCAGGTCCCGCTCTTTCCTGCCTCAGAGCCGGAAGGGCCCTCAAGGTTCCGGAACGCATTCACAATTCCTGGATTTGAGGCCTGAGTCTGTTACTTTGGGTGTGGGGCTTCAGGCCAGCTTTGGGCCAATTCCAACATCCTCAAAGCGTTTAGGGACAACTTTTTTTTTTCTTTTCTTTTTTTCCAGTCGGGGTGAAAAAGAGAATAGCTGTTGAATGAAAATCCAACAAATGAGTGCCTGGAGCCTCTGCTGGGCTTGGCCTCAGTTTATACTCTGAGGGAGGGTCTGAGGGGAACAGATAAGGCCCCTGTCCCCCTGAAGCCCACTCTCTAATGGGGGAGGTGAAAAAAAATATGAAAACAAATTAATAAGATCGCTTCTGTCAGTAACTAATCGTATGATGAAAATAAAAGAAGCATTTTAATTTGGGGGATCTGGGAAGGTCTGGATTGCAAGACAAGGGAGCCATGCCGAGATCTGGGGAGAGAAGATTCTTGGCACAGGGAGGGACACGTGCAGAGACCGTGGGGAGAACAAGACCCGCACAAGGGAGGGAACGTAGAAGGGCAGGATGCCTGGTGTGTTTCAAAAAAAAAAAAATAGAATATTAAGAAGAAGGAGTGAGGAAGCAAGGGGATAGAGATATCCTCCCGTGTGACAGAGAGGAGAAATCATTCCTCCTCACACAAAGACTATATGTAAAATACAGAAAAAGATTGTGAGGTGTCTGTGTTGAAGGTGAGGTGGGAGGAAGACTAAGGGACAAAGTCAGGCAAAAATCAGGAGAAGAGAACGAAGATGACGTGGATGTTCCCACATCTACATTGCCCACTCACTTCGCAGAACAGTGAAACATTCCAATTTGAAGTATAACAAGATTTTTTTTTTTAAAGTATAATGAGATTAGGGGGAGATATCCCATATGTTCAGCACGAGTGACTTGGTGTTCAAGTGAAACTCTCAGCTATTGCCTTCCTGGGTCTTTTGAGGCAAAATTTATATGCTCAGCAATAATGGTGGCCCATCTCTCTCTCTCTCTCTTCCTCCTCTACCCCCACACTCTGTGTGTCTTTGGGAACTGTGGGGCCAGAATATTCCACCCCAGCCGGCAGCTGTATATCTTTCAAAAAGTGGCTCCACAGGCCAAATCGCCCTCCAAGTTATTTATGACTCCCATTGAAGCCGGCAGGACTCAGGCGCCAATTTGGAGGTCAGCAATGGGCCCCTTTGTTGGACACAGGTCATCAGGAGACAGTTCCGGCGGTGACTGCTTCGTGAACCTCCGCTGCTGTCGAAATGGTTATGTAACTTTAAACAGTAATGACATTTTACAGAAAAGTGCTTTTTAATTGCTACGTCTTCATTATTCTCTTTCAAAATTGCCCAGGAGATTCTGCCTCAGAGACAGCTCGGCATGATCTGAGTTTCCATTTTTAAAGAGCAATCAGTTTTGTGTTTCAGCTGCTCCCAGAAACCCCCCAACCCCAAACTTCATCTGTGTTCAGTGGCATTAAATGGGGTAGGTAATACTGCCTTTTGTATCCTTGCCAAACAGAGAAATGATCTGACGCAATTTTCTAAAAATGCTCTCCCCAAATTCCTTTTGGGCTGGGACCAAGAATAGAATATTTTATCCCCTACAAAAGGGAGAAAGAAAATGATGAGCAAGCTAGAAAAATAGGACTGAGAGTATAGTCCATAGAGTTCCAACAGAAACTTAACCCCAATCCATAGACTCAGATGCCTATAGGGGATTGGGATCAGCTAAAAATAAATTTTGCTTTGGAAGCAAAAACCGTGATACAGATAAAATGACTCAATAATGCATAGTCTGAAAGAATTGGAGACTTAGCTGACAAGGGACTCTATTGCTTGATGTGTTTGGCCCCATCTTTTGGCGTCTGTGTCATCACCCTCTTATCCGGTGAGCCCTCCCCAGCCGTCGCTTCTTGCGGACCCCTTGCCCACTGGTGTGGAGCTGACCCCCAGTCTGGCAGCCCGCAGCGCCCAAGCCCTACAGCTCCTTCTGTCCTTTAGAACATGTGGACTAATGCAGATCCGCCTTCCTGAATTGCATACTCCCCACCACCATGCCACTTCAACAGGCACAGAATTCTAAACTCTACGTCTTATGAAGTCTCTGCAAATAGCTCAAGACTGCCTGCTATTTTCTTCTTCTGATTAAATACCCACAGCTATTGTTCACTTATCCTGAAGGTCCTGTTGACACGTTAAAAAACGTCAGTCCCAGGAGTGATTTCATCATCATCATCATCATCATCATCAAAAATAGGAATGAATTGGGGCACCTGGGTGCTCAGTCGGTTAAGTGTCTGACTCTTGATTTCAGCTCAGGTCATGATCTCAAGGTTGTGGGATCGAGCCCTGCATTGGGCTCTGCGCTGAGCAGAGATTCTGCTTGAGGATTCTCTCTCTCCCTCCCCCTGCTCTCTTTTTCTCTCTCAAATAAATAAATAAATCTTTTCTTGAAAAATAGGAATGGGTAACATTTACTGTTTGCTTGCCATGTGGCAGGAACTGTTCTGGACAATTTTCAGGGATTTCTTCACTTAGCCCTCTCAACAACTTTCTGATGTAAGTACTCAAAGCATCTCCATTTTACAAAAGAAGAAGTAGAGCCTTAGACAGTTTGAGGGACTTGCCCGAGATGTGTAGGGAGTAAGGAGAGGGGCCTGACCAGCAATGCCCAGCTTTTAACTACCTCCTGGGTCCCTGCTGTAAGTCGGGCTGGAGGCACCATCTTCTTTCCCACAGTGCCCTTCTGAACACAGTCTTTTTCAGCTGCCGGATGAAGACAGGATGAAATGATGGCACTTATTTTTTTTAAATAACTTGAAAGTGAGAGAGGGGGACAAAATGTAGAAACAAAACTGTGAAGTAGAAGGAGAGAAAAGCCGAGCTTATTCAGCAAACCCCTGATGAGTAGGATGAGGAGGTGTCCCTGAAGCATGAATGAGAAAGAAATGTAATCCAGAGAACACAGTTATTTCTCACACAGTGGGTCTTTAAACATTTACCCGCATACGCATTGGTGGCTACAACTGTCAGCAGCCCCAGATGAGGTAGAGAGAAATGTCTTAGGTGAAAGTGCTTTCGTGAATTAATTTAGCCCAGAGTTGTCCTTCTAGTTGGACACCCTAGGCCATATAGTCCGTTATGGTCACATCTCAGGGGTATGTGAGTAGTGCACGTGCCCAGAGAAATCCTTCTCCATCCTCGGCTGTCAGGATTAAGACTTTGATTAGGCAAGAATAGAGAAAAGATTATGAGGTGTGGTCCGGAGCGTTCGTCCTGTAGCCTTGGGCTTGTCACTTCCCCTCCATGAGCCTTGGCCTCTTTGTGTGTAGAGCAAAGAAGAAAAAATAATAATTCTCTCTGATGTCATCCTGTACTGATATTATTTTTATGATGCACTGGTCTTATGAAATTATACCACTGTCTTTATATTACTCTTATCCTTGAAACTTACCAAAGTGTCCCCATTATCCACAGGATGAAGTCCAAATTCCTTAGCATACGATAAATGTGCCCTTTGGCACCTGCTTCCCTCTGAAACCTGTTCCCGTTAGAGCAGTGCACCCCCACGCACGCAAATTCATTTCATTCACCAGCAACTCCCAGACATGCACATCTTTATCCTTGCTCTTCTTCTCTTTAGAACGTGCTTCCTGTTCTTCTTTTTGCATGAGGATCTCTTATTTACCTTTCAACCAGCCCAAATGCCGTCTCCCCTCTAAAGGCTTCCCTGCTATCCAAGCACTGTTATTTGCAGCCTTCTGCTGTCCTGTCACCTCATATGGCCTTCTCTGCTGCAGGTCTATAAAGTTATGATGATGTGTGCCCGTGTCTATCCCTGCTGATTATACTGTAAATTCCCCAAGGGCAAGGATCATGTCTTTTTTTTTTTATCTCTGTAGATCTAGTGCCTAGCGCAGGACCTGTGCTTCCTAAATAGAGGTCATAAATATTTGAAGAAAGGAACACAAAAGAAATGAAGGAAATAAGAAAAAAAAAAAAACAACAATAATCATGTGCTTTCAATAAGGATTTTGTCCCCAAATGGAAAAGGTGTAGGCCAGATCTGGCTCTGGCCTCAGTCCCAATGCTACGGAATAACGTGTGCCCTTCAGGGGTGGCCAAGGTCATGACCTGGAGAAGTCTAAGTAGGAGCATTGCAACTGGAGGCCTCACCAAGGGGGCCCTGTCTGGATCCAGGCAGGCCCAGAAATATTTTGGTTACAGTACACAGGGAGAAAGCTAGCGGCTTCGGATTCCTATGCATCACCTTTCAAAAGTGCTAATGAAACATCTCCTTTAACCTTTCTTTTTTTCCCTTTCTTGCTGTTCTCGAACAGGTCTCCAGATCATCTTCCCTCAGTATCTGCAAGAGAAGTTTGTCCAGTCGGCCTTGAGCTACATCATGTGCAATGGGGAGGGGGAATATGTGTGTCAGAACAGCCAATGTAGATGTCAGTGTGCGGAGGAGTTCCCACAATGCAACTGCCCCATCACCGACATCCAGATCATGGAGTACACGCTGGCCAACATGGCCAAGTCTTGGGCCGAAGCTTATAAGGACCTGGAGAATTCAGGTAGAGAACCTAGTTGTACTGCATCAATGGCCCTGAGCCAAGTCAAGGAAAGGAAACCATCTAACTGGAATTAGGACCCACTCTGAGGAAATAGTCAGTGACCCTAACTCTTTCACTGGGGAGGGACCAGAGCCCTGTCCATCATGGAGGAGGTACTCAGTCCGTCTCCATCGAATGGAGCCGTGGATCACATAATCGAGTTTGTGGTCCTAAGATGTATTGTCTCTAGGGTACCCAGAAGACAGAGAGAGAGTAACGCTACATAACACAGAGAAGCCTTTGGAGAATGGAGAGTCAAAAGTATCTGTGTTGATTCCTAAGTCTCTCTGTGTGTGTGTCTAAATAAGTACGTACATATGTGTAGATTTTAATACATGTACATATAGGTAGATATCCTTACAGACATAGATATCCAAAGAATTCACAGCTTGTCAAAGCTCAAGCGACTTTTCAGGTACTTAGCTATTTCCTGCTTTTCGTGGTTAAGAAAATTCGTGGTCATGAATTTCAGGAGAAGAAAGTCAGTCTCCCAGGGCCATAAAGTGGATGAGGGGCAAAGTTGGAGCTCTGCCTCCGTGGAGCTTCTAGTGAGTGTGAAAGTCAGACATGAATCATATGACCATGCAGATAATTAGGACATTTTAATCAGGTGTGTGGAGGGGGAGGTTGAATGTGGCCAGGCGGGTCGGGCAGGTCAGGAGAGGCGAGCTGGGGAAGAGCATCTGAGATGCAGATATCAGTGGGGGAGTGTATGTCAGCCAGTGGGAGGCCATCCTAAGGTGCCTAGGGGGGAGAGGACAGTGACATTGTTAACACGATTGTATAGGTGGGGAAAATGGGGAACATGCAGAGATGCCGAGATAGTTAGGCTTGATGTTACATTGGCTAAACGAAGAGATGGGTGTTGAGATTCAAGAGCTTTTTTTAGGTATGTTTGTTAGAGAGTTTGATGAACGCTTGTACCATTCACTGAGCTAGGACACCTTGGGAGGTTCAGAAAAAAAGACTGTGCTCAGCGTTGGACATGAACACCTTGGGAAGCCTTGAGACTTCCAAGAAGAGATGCCAAGAAAATACTTGGCATTTAATACCAGCTCAGATATCTGCTAAATCAATGGATATATGCAGAGAGCATTACTGTTTTTTTTTTTTTAAAAAAAAAAAACAACTTAATATTCCTTAAATTTATCACAACAACTGCATTACAGCGAGTAGTGATGTTCCTGCATCCCAGAGGACGGAGGGTGCCGAGACCCAGTGTCTTCCCCAGGGTCACATCATTAGCAAATGACAAGGTCGGTAATGGAATCCCTGATTCCAAATCCAGTGCCTGTAGCAGCTTCTGTAACTTTAATTCTTCTTTACCCCCTGGGCCTCAGTTCCCTCATCTGATAAATGAGAGGACATGTTTGTGGTTTTCATATTTGAATTTATTTAAATTTTTAGCCGAGAAAGCCTTTGATCGAACAAAATCATACCTTGGAGCCGCTGTGCACCCCAGGTGAAAGCTGAGCTCTACTGAGCTGTGTGGGAAAACCACTGGTTTCCATGAACTCTGAGCCCCCAGCCAGCTTGCGGAGCCCGCAATGCACGAGCAATTCCGCTCTCCTGCAGCTCGCATGGAGCTGGGACCGCCCTATGAACCTGCACCCATCAGTCCATTTAAAATCCCAGGGATTCAGAGAAGAGAGGCTCATGATGGAAATGTGTTACGACCATTATTTGGCCTCAAACAAGAGAAGCATTTGATAAAATGCTTTTGCAGAGAGATTCCACCGATTGCTAAAAAGCAGAGGGGAACATCGGCTGTGTGCACAAGCAGTAAGGATCCTTAGCATCTAATCCTATTCCCAAGGAAGAGAAGCCACTTCCAGTGAGTGGGTCAGGAGACACAGCTGAGAGGCTGCAGAAACGATTTCCGTGGCACACTTTCTCCCCATGATAGCACACACTCGCTCCAGATATCCTGTACTTATCCATTTGGAATGGTTTTACCCATTAAGACAAATCCACCCATCTCCACTTGTATTGCTGGCTTGTGCGTGTGTGTTTTCCTCCTTTTCATTTCAGGCAATGGCCTAAATGCCCCAGCCAACCAGGGACTTTGGGGGGATTAATGACCAGCCAAAAGGGAAGAGCCAATGATTCCTTCATGGTCAGAGCACTGGTGGTCAAATAGAACCAGCCTAGTTTACACACCCAAATGGGGGTCTGTCTACACCTCCCTTATTGGGAGGGAACCGTTCTACTTCTAGTCAAGAAAATTAAATCATTTTAACTTTTAAATTATACATCCCTATCTGACCCAGATTCAGGTTCATTGAAACGACTGTTCTGTCCTTCGAGGTCAACAGAGCCTTCCGCAGCAGGGTGGCATTTCTTCCACGGGGGCAGGGGTGGGCAGCCAAAGAGCATAGAGTCATTAGGGCCAGCCCCCTGCCTCCAGCCAGCTCCCCAAATAAATCAGTCAGCACAGTCGTCTGATACCCTTCCAATCCTACGTCGCCATGCATCCCCTGAACACTTTCTGTTCGTCGACAACTATTTTGGCAGAGGCAGTCCAATGTCACTCTCTCAAGATTTGCATGGGGTGCCAGGATAGCTGTTTGACAGATGGGGAAACTGAGGTATTGAAAGCATGATGGTCCTACAGCTGCTCAGGGGCCGAGATGCGGTTCGGTCTCCTGCATGTCCTGCTGTCAATGATGTGCCGGAAGTTTCGTGGGAGTCCGAGAGTCCTGTTTTCAGCACCTTGTATTTATTTATGTTTCTCCCAATATACTGGTTCTCCTTATGTGTTGAGAGTAAGCGTATAATGCTGAGTAAGAGCATAAGATTCAGAGCCTGGCTAGAGTTCTAATTCTGCCATTTACTGGCTGTGTGACCTTGGGAAGTCAACTGACTTCTCTGTGTCCTAGTTTCTATAAAAGGAGGCACTAAAAGTACCCACCTCATAGGTTTGCTGTAAAATCACTTATATGGGTTAGGTGTTTCAGACTGAGGATGGTGCTTGTTGAAAGCTATGTAGGCATTTTTAAAAATAAATGAAAGCCTAATGGACCTGAAATTTCCTTGTAGGTTTTATAACACGAAGTGAAAGTACTAAGTTGCAAATACATATATGTATATATAAATATAAATATATATATTTTATGTATATACATATATGTATAAATATATATATATATATATATCCCTAAGCATTTAGCTTTTTTTTCCCTGCAATATGATCAACTTCTTAATTCTTTTCCCAATAGTGGGGGGTGGGGATGGGGCAGGGGTGAATATTATATTAAAAAAAAATGATGGCTCTGATTTGCATCCTGCCTCTTGTCACTTGCAGGCTGTTCTACCTTCATAAAATCATTTCCCCACTCTGGGCCTCAGTTTCCCTCTGTGCGGAACCAGAAAGCTGGCCTAGAGAACCTCTGAGGCCGTGTCAAGTTGTAGCAAATACTGAAACTCTGAAACACAGAACCACACACTGAGGCAGAAGACTTCCCCCCAGAGACCCAGGATTTGCCCCCATCTCGTCAGCTGGGGTGTCCCCAAAATGGGACGTGACATGAAAGGGCACACTGACAACCTCCGGCATGACTGGATCACACAGTGGGGAGCCTGACCCACCGCAGTTCTCCCTCAACCCTGCGGATGACACGAGTTGGTGCTAATCCACCTTTAGCACCTGTCACTCACGACCTTCCTGTATGTCTCAGTGAGAGCAGGCGCAGGGCCTTGAGCATTTAGCTGGCAATGACATCGGTCCAGGGTCTGTTAATACGGTTTTCATCGTATTTGTGTTTCCAGCTTTATTTTTTTAACTTTATTTTGTTTTATTGTTTTATTGTGTACAATGAGTCCAGCTTTATTTTTATAGCTCCCATTCTATTGAAAGCATGTGATGGAGATTTCCTAATGCAGAATTGGATAAAAAAAAAAAAGTGGTTTAATTGATTCAAAGAAAATATTAAGTAAAAAGAAGTACAAATGAGATGTGACTATCATTCTCAAGCTGGCATTCAGATGACTGGAGTTTAGGAAGCCCTGTTTTCTGTGGGGATGCAGGCAGCAGATTCACTCCCGTGAGAGCAAAGGAAAAGGACCCTCCCTGAAAGTGGAGTGGTCAGAGCAGAGTGGGCTGGAGCAGCAGTGTTCGTGGGCCTCCAAGGAGGAAGTTTTATTTGCAAACCCGCTGTGTTGGTAGGTGGGGCTGAGCATGAGAGGCAACCTCAGATGGGGGCTGCCCCACGCTCAGCCCTTCTCTCTTGGCCTTTGTCTCTTGCTAGATGAGTTTAAATCCTTTATGAAGCGTCTCCCCAGCAACCACTTCCTGACCATCGGGAGCATCCATCAGCACTGGGGCAACGACTGGGACCTGCAGAACCGTTACAAACTCCTGCAGAGCACCACCGAGGCCCAGAGGCAGAAGATCCAGCGCACGGCCCGCAAGCTCTTCGGTCTCAGCGTTCGCTGCCGCCACAATCCCAACCACCAGCTGCCCCGGGAGAGGTAAGTGCGGCCCCCACCTGCCGCCTCTGCAGGCTCAGGCCCGGTGCTAGCTTCGTCCTCTCGTTGCCCCGGGGCATGCCGGGCGGAGGGTGTACTTGCCGGTGGCCCGCCGGGCCCTGTGTGGTCCAGACCGACCGTTTTCTGGATCGTCTCTGGCTTCTCTGCTATGGTACTGGCTATCCCTGGATTTCTCGCTGTTTCCTGAATATGCCCTGAACTCCCGGCCTCTGCGTTCTGTCTGATCCATCAGACTGTGGAAGGGAACCGACCCTAGCCCTCACTGCCATGTGACATTCTTCTCGTTGCTTACAATGTATTATCTATTTAATTTTAAAATTACTCGACAAGGCAGATTTTAGCATCCCCATCTTCCGTGGTGAAGACACCGGGTTAACTCATCAGTCAGCTAGGAATGGAGGGCCTTTGATCGGGGCCTGGAGTCAGTAGAACAAACAAGGCACAGACCATGAACAATTTAAGGAGGCCCTCCGTGGTTGGGTCCTGGGAGTGCAAGGTTCTCACCTGAGAGTGAGAGCCTCCTTAAATGCCTGGATGCCTCACCTGCCTCCCTCTGGGCTGCAAGACCAAAGCTCCCTGGTCTTCCGGGTTTATTTACTCTCTCTGGAACCCGTCAGGAAGGAGCCGGGATTCAAATCCAGGCCTTTCGGACTCCACTCTCCCAGGGCATGTATGAGCTGCCTCTGGGTGTTTCCTCTAGCAGGCCCACAAGGGGGTCACTAGCCAGCAGAAGGCAGGCTTGGGGGCTGCGCACCCAGCTTCAACCAGCGCAGTGCTGTCTTTATTCATTCCATGTGTGGGGGTTAGGGGATCAGCTTTATTCAGAGAAAAGAGGTCCACTCCATAAAAGAGTAAGGCTGAGGGGGGCCCGGGTGGCTCAGTAGGTTAAGCGTCTGTCTCTTGGTTTCGGCTCAGGTCCTGATCTCCTGGCTCCTGAGATCAAGCCCTGGGTTGGGCTCTGCCCTCCGCAGGAGTCTCTCCCTCTGCCCCTTCCCGTGCTTGCTCTCTTTCTCTCTCTCTCAAATAAATAAATCTTTTACAAAAATAAATAGAAGAGTAAGGCTAAGTCACATTTCCTTAACAAGTTCACTGTCAGCCACGTGTTTTTATATATATGATTGTTAGGCCCATTGTGCAGATCAAAGAACAAGCACAGAGAGGTCAAGTAATTGGTACAGAACTACAGTGTACATCAGCAGGTCTCAGCTGGAGATGATTGTGTCCCCAGAGAACAGTTGGAAATGTCTGAGGACATTTCTGAATATCATAATGGTGTGGGCGTGCTACTGCTCAGGGCAGTCCCCACACAAAGGAATTACCCTTCTCCAAAAAGTCAACGGTGCTGAGGTTTGGAAGCGCTGCCATAAGAGGAAGAGACAAGCTCCCCTGGCTCTATGATTCTAAATACTGTGTTCTTCATCATCCAGCTCCACAGGTACTCAAAGATGAAAGACCACTACACTCTCCTAAAACATCTCCCTCATTCCAACCACCTCCGTGCACCCACTCGTCTTCCTCTTATTTTTTCAGACTCTGATCAAATGTTGCCTCCTCCATGAAGTCTTTCTTGATTGCACCAGCCAATCCAGAAAGCTCCTTATTTCAAATCCATCTACATTACTTTAAAGCGCCTGCCCATCTTCTCTATTTCTTCACTATGAAATCTCCTCCTTATAGACTTATCTGTGCTCATCTCTGTTTTTCCCATTCCTTCCAACTCCGAACCCATTGCTTCGCACCTAGTTTATGAACCAAATAGGATTTGCTCTGCCCGTTGCTCACTTGTTGCAGTGCCCCAAGAGCAGGAACTAGGAAAGGGGTCCAGTCACAAAATGGCTTCCTTGTCATCTGCAGCCCGTGCGCAAACCGCCACCATGAGCGAGTGCCTAAAGGAGATTCCATCTAGGCTTCTGTCATGTGACCTGCCTCAGGCACAGTGGGGGGTTCAGAAATGAGCACAGTAAACAGTGCTGTGAAGGATGTCTTTCAGAGGAGGGGTTCTGTTAGCAATCATGAAAAGCTCCATATATATATATATATAAATATATATATATATAAATATAAATTAGCTTGGCAGGGCTGCCATAGCAAAGTACCACAGACTGAGTGGTTTAGACACCAGAAATTTATTTTCTCATAGTTCTGGAGCCTGGAAGTCTGAGATTGATGTGTCAGCAGAGTTGATTTCTTCTCTTTGGTTATACATGGCCACCTCCTCCCTGTGTCCTCACATGGCTTTCCCTCTGTGCTTCTCTGTGTCCCAATCTCTTCTTCTTATAAGGACACCAGTCGTATTGGGTTGAGGCTCACCTCAATGACCTAATTTTAACTTAATTACCTCTTCAAAGTCCGTTTCTCTCCTCAGAGGAATGGGAAGAACACCAGACAGAATCAGGGGGCTAGACTGAGATCCTACCTTCCCATTAGTGAGCTGTGAGACCTTCAGCAAATCACCTCCCTGTTCTGAGTGCAGATGTCCACATCTCTTCCCGTGCAAGCTGTCAGGCTAGAAATGTCCTGCTGCCACTAGCAGCTTCAAACGAAGAACTCACAGTGTTGCCTTCTCTCCTCCTGAGATGAGAAAACTTGCCCTAATCACAGCATCCCTCCTCTACTCACCTGGGGAGGGTGTCCAGAATTCCACCTTGGCAAGTCAGTCAGTTATGTTCATTTAACAAGTATTGAATGCTGGGTACTGGGGGGTGCCGGGCGCAGAAACTCGGCTCCGCGTGGATTCCTCTGAAGCCTTCCCAGGAGAGCTGAACCTCCTTGCCGGTTGTGAGCTGCTTCCTGACATCCGAATCGGAGCCCTTAATGAGTGTTTCTCACACCGGCAGGCAGCGCACCTCCCCGCCACGGACTGGTGTCAGACAAAGGTGCTAACACAGGGGACCTTGGGCCACCGGGGCTGAGCGAGCTGGAATTTGCAAATGAGGCCATTGTTCTGCTGTAATTTGTCTGTGAGCCGGGCTCCAGGGGAGAGGAGTCCACCAAGCAGATGCCATCGCTCCCATGGGTCAGAAGGATTTTTACATGCGTCGCGGAGGGGAGGTGGTGTCGAGGCAGGGGTGGGACAGGGAAAGAGCATGGGGCTTTAACCACGACGGACTGGGTCCACATCCTGGCTCCATCGTTCACCAGCCACGAGGCTCTCTGTCAGTCCCTGCACCTCCCCGGCGACATGGGTTAATAACCTTTGCCTTCGGGTTAAGTATGAGGACGAAGATTGAAAAATTTTAAGAAACCTATAAAATGTCTGGCTCCATTAAGAGAGGGGTCGGTGGGGGGGGCAGAGAGAAAGAGGGTGCTGTCACTTAATATATATATAGTATTCTAAAGGCCAGGCACCGTTCTAAGCACCTTAGATGAATTAGCTCATTTCGGCCTCACTGCAACCTTAGGAACTAGGTACTTTCACTATCTTACTATTTCTATTTTACAGGTAAAGGAATTGAGGCACAGAGAGTTTAATAATATACCCAAGGCCAATAAATATTAATTATTTTATTGTTACTTCAAAGAGGTGTTTACCTATAAAATTAAGTGGTCAGTCAAGTCTAGGTAATCGGGCCTTAGTTTTAAGGCATCCTGGAACCTTAACACGGGGCTGGAAGGCAAAAGGGGCACATTCTGGTTATCCAGCGCCACCAACAAACTCACCCCAAGACTTAGTGGCTCAAAACAACACTTTATTATCAACTGTCATGATTCTGTAGGTTGACAGGGGCACAGCCGGGGGTCTCTCAAGTCGGCCGGGGCCGAGCTCCTTTGAGGGCTTGACTGGACTGGACGTCATGCCCACGGCTGGCAAACTGCTGGCTCTCGGCTGGGAGCTCAGTGGAGGCTGCCGGGCAGACTGCCTACACGTGCCCTGTCCATGTGGTCCAGGCTTCTGGCAGTGCGACAACAGCATATTCAGACCAAAAGGAAGCTGTTCGACTTCTTCTGTCTTAGCTCTGGATGTCAGACAGAGTCCATTCCGCCATATTCTGTGGGCCAAAGTCCAGCCCGGATTCAAGGGAGTGAATACTGGGGGCTGTGGGTCTTTGGGGGCAGAGGGAATCTTTTTTGGAGATAAAATGAGTGTAAGTAGAGCTTAGAGCTGACCATCTTATATGTAGGGCAAATCAGATTAATTATAAAACGATAACAGCCTCTTACTGAGCAGCTATTATAACAAGCAGGAGAGCTGGCTAAGTATAGAGATTCTAGAGTCAGACTGCCTGGGTTCACAGCCCAGGTTGGTCAGCAGCTTATCCTGTAACCCTGGGGAAGTTAGCACCAGCTTTGAGCCTCAGTTTTCTCATATGTAAAATGGGGCTAATAATAGCGCCAACGTCTTAAGGCTGTTTTGAAGATTAGATGCTTTAACCCACATAAAATGCTTAGAACGGTGTCTGCCACATGGAAAACACACAGTATATGTCAGCTATTTTCCTTATTGTTATTTTTACCAGGCACTGGTATTTTGCACGTAAGTTAGTTAGCCCATGGTAATACTCGACAAGTCTAAGTGTTGGTAATGATGACATATTTTATTATATATATATATATATATATATATATGCTATCTCTACAAAGTTGATTGCCTTATAGATGAGGGAACTGATGAGGCAGAGATGTAATTAACTTGCCCAAGGTCACAGGGCAGGTAAGTGGCAGTATTGGAACTGTCTTGCTCTCTCATTGGTGGGCTTGCTGGTCGAGGGCTGGTGCAGGCTCTGAGCAGTGTGCAGAGGCAGAGACACCGTGGTTTGAGTGTATGATGATACCAAAGGCAGGGTTAGCTCATTAAGGTCATGGGGGTGGTGATGGATTGGGATTAGAATTTTATAGGCTGGAATGTAGTGTGCTGAGATTTAGGAAATGGCCCCAGCCATGGAACCCTGAATCATCAATTCTGGAGCCCAGGCAGACGACCTTATCAGGCAGCAGCAAATCGTCCCATTTTATGAGTATCCAGGAAGTTAAGGCACAGAGAT